AAAAAAAAAAAAAAGAAGAAATTTGTATAAATAGTTGATCTTGAATAAAAATTGAAACGTTTTTTTTCTTTTGTTCACTTTTGACCTATAACAGTGTGAAAAGATTTATTGAAAAATTTTTGTTTTTATCTAAAGATTTATGTTTCTCCACTATTTTGATAAAGTTCTTTTCTCATATTCAGCGGCAGATGTACTTTTTTTTGCATGAATGAAGCTTGTCGAACAGTTCTGTTCGTCAGCACTGGCTCAAACTTTCAAAGTTATTGCTTTTTTGTTCATCAAAAAGAGATAAGCAGTGTTCTTTTTTCACCGTGCAACGTTTATCTTGGCTGAATAACTGTACGTAACGAACACTCAGATGTATTTTATTTTTAGTTTTATCTAAAAGCGTTCTTTATCTGTTGTTTCCTTTGTTCTAAGATCTGGATAAGATGTCGCACAGTTTAGACCCGCAATACATAAGCTTTACTACTGAACACTTAACTATGTTTACGGCGCAAACCGTTATTGAAGTTGTTATAATCCCATTCAAGAAAAACCCGACAACTGTCTATGAGAAATAATATACAAAGGTTTACTGGTTTCAAAAAAGACGAAAAAGGTCGATTTAAGGTGGCGAACAAATGGTAGTTGATACTAAGTTGATCTAAGGTCAAATTTAATGTAGGCTGAATGAGAAAAAGGCAAAACAAAGCAATATGCTTGTAAGGTGCCAACCAAGTGTCCTTGGTGTGTTTTAGCGCCAAGTTTGTATTTCAAGGTTACAATTTATCATTTAGAATATAATCAAAACATGACTATTTTCAACACCAATCAACTTTGACGCACTGATGTCAGCTGACTGCTTTTCTGTCATCATTCGTACTCAATCTTATAACTTCAGCGCGTCGAAGTTTGAGGTGTTGCTTTGATTTAGCAGAGCAACGACTGCACTTTGTGTCCAAAGTGTGACGTGTATTTCGCAATGCTTAAATCTTCTGATACTGCAAAATTTAATAGACTAGTGTCTTTTTTAGTGGGTTTTTTCCCTGGTTGTAATCGTACAGAATTTGCATTAGTTTATTGCTTGATTTTAGGTGCAAAGGGTTCTTTAAACGTACGGTACAAAACAAGCGGGTATATACATGTGTTAGCGGAACAGGTGGTTGTCCGATGACGAAAGAACAAAGAAACAGGTGCCAGTACTGTCGATTCCAGAAGTGTCTTAACCAAGGCATGGTACTCGAAGGCATGTTTTTCAAAATATTTTAATAACTATATTTTTAGTATAGTTTTAGATATAAGTTGGGCTAATAATCAGAGTAAATAGAAAGCTTTAGAAACCTTCAAATAATGTTTTATCTTTTCTCAAAGCGAAACAGTTGTTTTAACGCAGTTTATATCACTGACAGAAAAGGAAGACTCAGTGGTAAAACGAGAGTAATATTATGAGAATTTTTCCAAGAGTTTTTGAAGACGAAGCTACAAACTTTACCTTTTGTTTTTGTATATAATTCTTTAATAAATTTTGTTTTTTTTTTTT